AGCGAAAAACGGAGTCCACTTTCCGAAAGTCTAATATTAATCTACTTATCCCAAGCAGAAAGACATGCAGAAATGAAGGAAAATCGGGTCCTCTTCTTGGGACCGACAGGTCCTTTCCTCGTTAAGATGCGATGCGAAGACGAACGTACTCGACACTTGTGGATACATAGAATACAACAATGCTTCCCATCGTTTGAGAATTGACGGAACTTTCTCAGCACATAACAGGCGCTCGCCCTTCGGCCTATTGCTTACTCAAGCAAGGGCGAGGATGGTGATATTTAGGTGTTTGGGATAGTGAATTGCCCTCTCAAGACCTCGACGCCAACCCCGAATCGTACCATGGCGCACGGCTAACTCGAACAATGTAATAGTGAGCGCCAATGAACAGCATCGATACATCTGCTCTCGGTCAACTAGATGCAATAATGTGCGTTGCGCAGACGATGCGGAAGATATTGAGCGAGAAAGGACACTAGCCAGAAACCTCTTGCCTTCGCACACTGACCCCATTCACCAATTCTCCATTTGAGGTATCCCTGTCCCTCTGTCCAACCGCCAGGTTGCGCGTGAGCCAGGAGAATAGCGCCTCTGCCACATGTTCAAATGTTGAGAGATGAAAACCTCCCGGATACATGAAACGAGAAACCATTACCAGCAAGAAAATACGCTGCCAAAATTTAAAACTATTTATGTCAAAGACGTTTTCTCCGTCAGCATTGGTGTCGTTGTCCTGTGTCGAAAAGAAGATTGGCTCCCTTGCCAAAGCCCGACACTGTGGCGCTTTCAAATGGCTTTCAATTCAAACCCCTTTGCCGCATACAAAAAGGCCGTGTCCTTAGTAAGGCAAACTTTCTCAGGGTGTGTATGAGGTGAGCGCGAGAGAGGGAATAACCCGATGACCAAAGTGGTTTCCTGTATGGGGTGAAGGTCAGCAAAGGGCACGGATCACAGCGGAACGCTCGTCCTGCTTGCGGATACGAAGGTATCCTAACATCTTTTGACAACTCATTTTCTGCGGATGATGAGATGCAAACACGATAGAAACAATGCAAGGATGCGTTTCCTTCTTTCAGTGGGCGTTAGAGCTGATAATCAGCGTGGAAGGCAGCTCAACTGCTTATCATCGCACATGCGCCGTGTCGAAAAAATATATAGCGGGGAGACGCCTACAGTATTAGAGCAAGGCAACCAGTGCGCTAATAGAGTGCGCAACACAACAAGTGCGTCGCCATATGTGACGGCCCGCAAGGGGCCGAGTATTAGTTTTTCCCAAGTTTTTCGCCAAGACAAGGGGTCTGAAGCACGGCGCATATAGCACTCGAAAGATGATTGGTTATAGTGATTATGAAATATCGATGAATTCTGAGTGATCGCGTGCTATATCCATTTCTATCCTGCGCCAGGAAAGAAACGAATATAGAGATACTGTAGGTGCTTCCAGATAGCAACCGAAAAAAGCGATTAGCGCACCAGTTGACATGCCAACAGGGGAAAATCTCTAAAATTTCGAAATTTAGTGCCGCTTTTACCACCCTCCCGCTATAGTATTAGGCGCTAATGCCGACCAGACGCACGAACACGAACTGTCCCACGTGTCACATCGGTCTGGGTGTTTTGCTGCCGTCCGTCCGTCGCGCTTGAAAACATGTGAAAGCGGTTTCTAAGCTCGATCCTATTCACGGAACAGCGTTCACAGACCGTAGCTTGTCCTCGTTATGGCTCCGGTTCCGGAAATAAAAAAAGAACCTCGCAAGCGCCTCGTCAACATGCACGGAAAAGTCGGTCGCAATGAGAGCCATATCGAAAAAGCAACCGTTGATGATGTGCTACAGTTCTTGTCTCGCATGAGCATTGCACTTGAGTCAATTAGCACGGATAATCAATGCTTTGAGGGGCGGGATGTGGAACGGTAGGTAAATATTGAGTCCGATGAAGGTGTAGTAGAGGCGTCTACTAATGATGCCATGGACGTTTTTGAGACGGTTCAGGGTGTGACGAACTCAGCTACAACGCAATCAAGTGATGAAGATGGGAGCGCAGAGGACGCGAGAGAGAGAAGGACTGTACCCTCTGTCGTTGAGATCGCGGAATTGTTTGGAGAGCTGGAAGTTTTGGCGACTGAATGCCAAGCAGACGCTCTATCGTATCTGAGGTATGCGAAGCGCGCGTTTCTCACCGCAAAACACGACAGAGAACCAACGCGGAGCCGGCAGACGTTAATTACCGAGTGCATGAAAATTGATGTGACGACATCACCTACTAATGCCATCTCCCAATAGTGTATGTTTGTGGGGCCTCGCACGGGGCGGCACTAATCGCTAGGGTCCCCTGTAGGGCCTTCTCACCAGGCACCACGGCATGACAGCACGGCATGATCTGCGGTGAGTGGTATTTGCAGTAAAGACAGCGGTTGCGAAAAATAGCTTTTTGTTGGAATCGCGTGATGGATTGCCAGGCATGGCGGAGGGTGGTTTGCGGATTGGGTAACACGGAGGGGCTGGTGAGACAGGGACGCAGATTTGGATACAGGGCACTCCCAGGTAGGAAGTACTACGGTGTAGCAAGGTGACAGGGAGGGGGAAGGTGAGGGGAGGAAGTGGAGACCTTTGTAGAAACAGGGGGCATTGGACAAGGGTAGACGGTGTGCGACAGACACAAGAAGGGATCTATCCCTGGTTGATTTCAGCGGAGATGGGAAGGGAGAAAAGGCCTTGTTGTCGGTGGCTATCAAAAAGACACGTTGTCGAGGCCGTATGGAGGCAGGCATGCACGAGGTGGCGTCTGGATATCTCGGGGTTGGGACATGGCATGCAAGTGCGTCCTTTGGCAGCAGTGTGGTATTAGGGATGTACTACCTCCGGCAACAGTACCTCGATGCTTTGAATGTGTGCACCGCGGGGTGCAGAGCGTGCGTAGGGGCTTGCCACATTTGTGGAAATGAAAGGCGATGCGCGACGTCATACTGTTGTATTCGGGTACGCATACGCGTCATCCTTTTTTAGAGATGTGAAAGAAATGAATGAGTTTGGCGACAAAGGTGAATGTCCCAGACAGGGCCCATGAAGAGGTGTTGCACATATGTGAGTAGAACAACTGAAGAAGTTTGGTCTCACGGACCCGGATGTGAGAGGAATATCCCTAGTACTCTGTTCTTATGTTCATTAAAGTGAACAAAACTATTTACACCCATGTAGTTTGGCCAATGTCTGGCCATATCACCTCAAGCAAAATCTCCTTACTGTAGTCATTATATCCTTTGCATGCGAAGACTCGCAAATTCTCAGAGATCAAAAGAAGCACACCAAATGATGACTACAAGTTTGCACATTTTGCTCTTCTCTTGACCCGACAAAAAGTCTTATGTTCACAAAATTGATCATAAAAATATAAAATGTGCATCTCATAGACAGTATTTATTTACAGTAAGCAGCTCTACGATGTACGTCTGCGAATGGTGGTAAACGGGGGGGCATGCTTTGTTGGACAGACACATAAAGGCTTGGACATTGTGGTGATTTCTTCATATGACTCCCAGTCATTCCTCCCTCATGTCGTTGGCCAGCTGCACCTCCCTTTTGTCGAGTGGTTATCCCGGACATCAGAACTGTATTGTTTCGGATTCAGGGCCGTTCCTAACGAAGAGTTCGCCGTGCCAGCACCTGAGCACCCTGAAACTTGGCATGAATATATTGGTTGAAAAAATTATTGGAAATGCTTTTACTCCCGTTCAACCAATCCATTCATGCCAAATGTCAGGGTGTTTGCGTGCTAGCACACCGAACTCTTCGTTAGGAACGGCCCTCACCCATTAATAATATGGACGAATCTCAAAGAGATTCGTCCATATTATTGCACTTCGGGAGTACTGCACTTTTTGTGCCTACGACACGGGTGTGCACTAATGAGCGATACCCACTCGTACAGTCTTGCTTGCCATGCAAAAGTTTATGACAGAGGTTTTTTTTGTTTTCACTGCCACTTGATGTCAAGTGTCAACATCTCATCACCACGGTAGTCAACAGAGCAACAACCATAGTGCGCAGTGCACATCATCATCACAGTGATGTCATCAAGTCGGGCACACTGTGCACGACTTGATGGCATCGAGGCATCGATTTGTTCCATCTACAGTATCTGCCCTATTGAGCTGCAATGAACCCTCGCATCACTTGGACAGCTGTCCTGCTCCTGAACTCACTCATACGAAAAAGTGAAGCCCCCATGCTCTCCTATATCCACGCATGCAAGGGTTGTTCAGAACCTTCCGGAACGCTCTCGACATGTATTTAACCCGCATGCTTCCATTCCACGCCCACCCCCCTCCCTCCGGAAGTTCTGAGGAGAAAATAATGCGGAGCCCTTCGGTGTCAAGGTCTGGCATGCTGACAGCCCATCCCGCTGTGTGAATACAATGAACTGCGTCACTTCGCAGCCTTCCAGCGCGAGAAGGAGGCTTTCTATTTCTATTCTCCCGTAAGCGGTGTCCTGTCTTGCTTGCTGTCTTGTGCTCCTCGCCGCATTTATTATCGAGAATTCTTTCTTTGTCTCTGGTTTTCGGGGTTCTCTACATCTCATCTAATCCTCCGTCAAACTTCATCTTTCCCTAATCCGTGAAGGTGCAACAAAAACGCGATCTACTAGCGACATGTAGGATTCATGACGTGGCTGCCAAATAGAAGTCAAACGCCCATGCCCATCTCTGGCATACCTTTTTTGCTACTCCGCGATCATGGGCATGAACTGAAAGGCCACTAGTGCAACAAGAGTTCAAGCTTCTGAAGTTCTCCTTTCCCAAACAATTACTCCCGTCTCAAAGGCATGAAACGCGCCATATTCGGGGAGGGCATGGTCTTTTTGATCCAAAGCCCATCCATGGACCAAATCGCGGACACATTCATGAGTATAAAGAGAGTGCCCAACCCAGGGCGAAGCACCTCCTCTCATCCACACAATCTCATCAGTTTTCACCTCGGTACTACGCTCGTCACACACCAACCATGATCGCCTCATTCATCTTCGTCCTTCTCCTGTCCGTCATCGCCTTCACAGCGGACGCCCGATGCGGCACCACCTGCCTGTTCCGCCTCTGCCGCACCGACGGCTCCTTTCGTTTCAATCCGACGGGTACGGCCGTCCTTCTCCGCGGGGCTGGCTACACGCGCTCAGCATCCGTCTGCCGCGACTTCCCGGACGGCCGGACGCTCGGCAACATCCGCAAAACTGGCGTTGCCGTCATTGAAGCGGTCAGGAGCAAAACTAGCTTTGACGGCTATGGAACGGTCAAGCGAGACACCCTCATCAACAGGTACAGGCCCAACGGACTGAGCCACCCGTTCCCGAGAAACTACTTCCGTCTTTCCCCTCATTTGTTCCAGCGCGAACTGAGGGGCATCTCCCGCCGTGGCCCCGTGGGTAATCAGGATGACTTCCTCGGCGGCCTCTGCATCCGTCTTCCGATCCTGAACTACGACATCCAGAACACCGATGGGTCCGTGTTCCGCACGATCTCGACGTCCGACGACAGGGACTGCGTCTCATTCTCGCCGATTGTGCGGCCGATCGTGGTGGACGTGGCGTGGGATTCGTCCGATGACTTCAACCTTTCCGTTGACGGGCCGCCGGGCTCCCAGGGAATACGTAACCGTGACAACTTGATGTACCACTGCGGCAAGTTGCCGGCCGGTAAGGAAGCTGTGTGGTTCAAGAACATGGTTCCAGGAAAGTACACTGTCAAGCTGTTCCATTTCAACAACTGCTTCAATAAGCGCACGAGGTGGGAGGTCAACGTTGTGATCAACGGAGTCAGGATTGAACGTAAGTTGGGCCGGTCGAACGTGGACGGCAGGCAGGTTCTTGAGCTCGAGTTCACTGTCTAAGAAGAGTGAGTAAAGGTATCGAGTACCGTTTCCCTTACATCGTGATGGTCGTGAAATAGTGTCTGCAACCTGTAGTGAACGATGAGTAGAGATGGGCGGAGTTGCTCCCGTACTTGGGATTTAAATAAACGACACCTTTCGTCTCTGTTTGAAAACGATATTGGCACATCGTTCCTTGGTTGTGTGTAGTTTGAAAAATACCAAACGCCGGTGTAACCACGCCAACGCCTGCACGGCGTGGTTCATCGAGTCAGGAGCCAAAATGGTCTTCCACGCATGCCCAGCCAATTTGCCACTGTGTACCCATGCTGATACTCGCGGCAAATGGTTTATCGATCCAGCAGCCAACTCTCCCTCCACGCATGTTCCGATAATTTGTCCTAGTGTCTTTCCTTTCGGAAGGCTAAGCAAAGTACAGTAGTCATGGACATGCATATACATTGATCCGCCAATAATCCATGAGGGGGTCTCCGCTACCGAAGCATCACCTCTTCTTTCGAAGCCAGCCCTTTTTCTCTTTCGCCCTGCACACCACCGGGTGTGGTGGCAGCACAGGCGGTCATGGACGGGCCGGACACTCGCACTGGGCCGTGCAGCACCTTTGAGACACTCCGCGATTCCTGCGTGACTTGTGCAGAGATCACAAGCCAACTACGTTCATGAACGTCTACACGTCAAGATTCTCTTGTGGCGGAGCAGAGTCGGTCGGGAATACCTCTCAGGCAGAGAAGCATCCCGACCTACCCTTGGTACTGTCTGTTGGGAATTGTCCCGGTCTCTATGTTGGAAGCTACACGCGTAATAAGGGCGCGATGATATGAAGGCAGCGGGACGAGTAAATTTATATGTATATTATATATTCACTGTTCACAGTGAATATATATAGGGACACCCCTTTTACATTCACATGAATGTAAAAGGAGTGTCCCCGGCCCAGGAGACTAGTGAGGAAGTGATGACCACGGTATCTGTAACTACCCTTGTAGTAGTGGTCTATATTTTCGAATATGTGTATAATACCCAACTGCTAGACTTGCTCTATGGATGGTGAACATTAAATTCTATTTATTTTTCCTGTTCTTATTGAGTATTTCCTGAAAAATATCACACCCTTGTACCAAATTCAATTGAGGCCGCCTTGTTGCATCGCACGGCTGCATCTCGAGATCATCTTCAACGCCGCCTTGTTGCATCGCATGGCTGCATCTCGACTGTTGCCGTATTTGGCTACATTCAAATGGACGCAGATAATTTCACTATGACTCAGGGTGACTCAGTTTGACTCAGTTTGTCTCAACCAAGACTCTCGCCTTGGTTAGAATGAGAAAACACCGTAGAGGATACGACAGTATATAATAGAAGCTATCGATCACTCAATCTAAAGGTACACAACAATTATCATTTACTGTAATAGGTTATGGGCCAAGAACGCTAACCGTGAAGCGCACTTCAAAGCTTGTTCTGTCTTTTCTGTTGCTGAGTACAGTTCCTGTTCCAATTTCTCAAGTGATACCTTTACCAACCAGACACCTCACTCAAAATAAGTGAGGAAGGAAATCTCGATGTCAAGAAATTCCGCATTGATAAGCTGAATGCGCACAACTACTTCATGTGGTCTAACGATATGGGGATATTACTACGTGGAAAAGGGCTATGGGAATTTGTTGCCGGAACTGCTGTGCAACAAGAAGAAGCAGAAGCAAAACAAGCCTTTCAAAGGAAGAGGGATATTGCCCTCGCCAACATTCTCATGGCGATTACGCCATGCTGTAAATCCACAGTGATAACAATGAGGGATCCACATCAAGATTGGACGAAGGTCAGTGAAATGTTTCAGGCTGTATCCGAAGCAACAGTTGACTCAAAGCTCTCAAAGATTCAGAACATCAAAAAGAAGCCATCTGAATCAGTCATGGCATACGCAAACAGAATTGAAGGGCTCGTTAATGTTAGAATCGTTACTCGAGTTGTGAAAAGGTTGTTATCTTTTAGATTCAAGTTCAAGCTGCAACATATTATACCACCTTATGTACTACTTACAACCATGGTCGAAAAGGTAGTCCATCATCCCTGGGATTGATGAACTCCATGAAATGTCACTATCTAAACTTGACATGCAATGTGGCCACGCAACGTAGCCAGTCACATACAGGAGAGTTGATTTCAACACGAAATCAACCTGTGCATGAAATCAATTCATGTGCACAACCTCATGCCATGAAATCTTGGGTCACTGTAATGGTTATTCCGGGATTAGATGTGGTGGATGTAGCTGAATTACTCAACACTCCTCCTCAGCACCACTGCCACCAGCACCCAGATCGATCCCGATTAAACCAGCCAACTTGTGATGGGATTGTCCGCCCAAACCTTTCCTTAGAATGTCAGCCAAGTTATCCACGGACGGCACATATTCCAGCACAATGTCCCCTTGCTCGACTTTTTCCCTGATAAAGTGATAGTAGATGGAGATTTGTTTAGAGTCCTCGGTCAATCGAGCCTCTCGCGCCATTTGTAATGCAGTCTGGTTGTCCCCGTTTAGACAAACCACTCCACTAGCAACCAGGCCAACGTCAGCCGCCAAATTCTTATGCCAGATTACCTCGCGCGCAGCAGTTGGGAGGGCCACGTATTCTACCTCACTGGTAGAGAGAGCCACTATGGTCTGTTTCTTGGGCCTCCAAGAAATCCCACCAGCTGCCAATTGAAATAAATACCCAGTGGTGGACTTTCTGTCTGTGGGGTCCCCGGCGAAATCCGAGTCCACATATCCAACCACGTCATGTCCAGCGCCCGCGCGATACGTGATACCATTATCCCTTGTACCCTTTAGGTACCCTAAGATCCGCTTCGCAGCTACCCAGTGCGACGTCCTAGGTGCAGAACAAAAGCGCGCCAGACGTCCGACAGCAAACGAGATGTCCGGTCGGCCCGTGTTCGCCAAATATAGAAGCACGCCGACCAGTTCCGATTACGGCCCTTCAAATGCCTCACCACCTTCGTCCAGTTCAATCCTTACACCGCTGGCGACTGGTGTCGGCACGGAAATTGCATCCGCCATGGAAAAACGCTGTAATGTCGAGTCAATGAGCGGTTGGTTCGCAATTCTTAGAGTCCCAGATCCCTCGCTATGATTGACGCACATTCCCAGAAATTTCGTGATGGAGTCCTCTACACGAAGCTCAACCTGTGCCCCCATTTGAGCCGCCACCAAGCGTAGGATTTTCTCACATTTGCCAACAATTAGCATGTCATCGACATAGGCCGCAATTATGGTCAAACCGCCATCTTTTTCCAATCGAGTGTATAACGATTCGTCATAATTGCTTTTGACAAATCCCAGCGTCGAGACCAATTTGCAAAATACCTCATTCCAGGCGCGTGCCGCCTGCCGTAACCCATATAGCGCCTTTTGGAGCCGCATCACCTTCTGCTCCTGCCCCTCAGTAATGAAACCTTCCGGCTGAGCAATGTAGAGCTCCTCCTGAAGGTCACCATTCAGGAAGGCGGACTTGACATCTACTTGCAGCATCTTCAGGCGACGCTGCACCACCAAGGCCAGAACCATCCGTAGCGTAGTATACTTAATTACAGGCCCATAGATCTCGCCAAAATCTGATCCCGCCTTTTATGAGAACCCTTTAGCGACCAATCAGGCCTTTTGCTGCTCGATAAAACCATTAGCTTTCCTCTTCACCTGATAGACCCAGCGGGTAGCGATTACCTTCTTCCCTACAGGCAGTTTGGATAGTGACCAAACACCCTTTTGGTTAATGGTTCGGATCTCGTCCTCCATCGCCTCGCGCCATTTTCCGTGGTCTGATCGTCCAATTGCCTCTTTGTACGAGCGCGGATCTTCCAGGAATTGGTCGCCGCCCGTCACCATCATGGCCTGGCCTCTTTTGCCATACCGTTCGGGCTCCCTAGTTATCCGGTTTGAACGCCGCACATTCGGGCAATGTGTGAGGGCTTCCAATTGGTCCGCCGTCATTGGCGCCAATTACTCCGTAGGTACTACGAGTGGTTGTTCCACTTCTTCGCCTGTCCGAGTAATGTCCAATATCTCATTCGACTCCGGCGTGTCAGTCTCAACCTCATCCCTCATTGGTCCCTCAATGGTTCTGACATCTTTAGAGATCAAGATCCGGCCAGATTCAGGGATGTGGACACGGTATGCTCCTCCGAGATAGCCAACGATCATACCTTTACGGGCCTGGCTGGCGAATTTTTCTTCCCTGAACTGGCTGGGTATGTTGACGAAAGCTGTACAACCAAATTCCCTCAGGTTCGATACACATCCGGTTTGATCCCTGTCAGCGCTTCTATCGGCGTCACTGCTTCTCGCTGGCAGCCCTTGCTGAACATCCTATTGCGGATGTAGTTCGCAGTTGCCACTGCCTCATCCCATAGACTTTTATAGTTAGGACCGAGCGGGTTTCCCATCGCGCGCGCTTTGTCCAGTAGGGTCCGATTAAGCCGTTCCGCTCGCCCATTGGACTCCGGCGAATACGGCGGGGAATATTCCGGCATTATCCCAGAGTCCGTAAACCAATGGTTGAGGCTCTTGCCGATGAATTCCACGCCATTATCCATCCGGACCCGACGTACACGCGCGCCGTTCACTGCGATTGATTCAAGTTCGACGATCATACTTTTCAGAGCCCAGCCGGTCTGGTCCTTACTCTGTACAAACCTTACAGCCGACACGGCAGAGGCATCATCGTATAGGGTCACGAAGTACCTCGCCTTGCTGACCGATGAGATTCCAATAGGTCCACATAAATCGCTGTGGACCAAATCCAGTGGCTCGCGCGAACTGCAGATTGATTTGTCAGCTGGCTTCCGGCTTTCCCGCGTAGACTTGTTCTCAAGACACACCTCACAATCCGACATGAGATGGTCAGCTCGGTTACCCAGACCCTTAACCAATGGGGCTGTCTGAGTTATCGCTTTTTCCGGCGCATGGCCAAAACGTTTGTGCCAGTTGGGCCGATTCGTCGCGATGTACATTTTCCCCGACAATTTTGAGCCAAATTTGGGAGCCAATAGCATCTCATACAGACCCAATTGCCCCTCTATGCCCTTCATCACAACCAGACCTGTGTCTTTCTCAGTTACCTGTACCATCCCAATGTTGTTCTCGCCAGTTTTAAAGGTGACCTCGAATCC